CGACCCCGGCTCTTCTTGTCAGCGTTATCTCGAAGTCATTCACCTGGGAGCTGCCTGGCGAGCGGCTCGTTCTGCCAAGTTGAAGTTGAAAGATGTTGTGCTGGCCGTCATTGACACGGGGGTTGATACGACTCATCCTGATCTGGTCAATCAATTCTGGAGAAATCCAGCTGACGGGTCTATTGGATTCAACTTCGTTAAGAACAATACCAATGTGACTGATGACCTTCGTCATGGTACCCACTGCGCTGGCATTGCGGCCGCCCAGACTAATAACTGCATTGGCATTGCAGGAGTGGCTAACATTGAAGGCCCACCGCCGAAGGTTAAGCTGATGATATTGAAGACCTGCGACGATTCCGGTGTTGGCCTTTTGAGTAATTCGCTGAGGGCCCTCAACTTCGCAGTCGAAAATGGTGCAACAGTATCCTCTCATTCTTACTGCTGGTATAACACAAGTGAGCTCCAGAAGGCTGCATACAAGAACGCCGCTGCTGCTGGACATATTGCTGTTGCTGCTGCTGGCAATGAAGCGCTTGATCTAGAGAAGAACCGAACCTATCCTTGCTGCCTTGCAGAGGACATCCCATCTATGCTTTGTGTGGCTGCCAGTACTTCTAATCCAACCGAACCGGTCTCTCTTGCCGGATTCTCGAACACTGGATTTGTTACGAAGGTTGCTGCTCCCGGTGTGGATATTTACTCGACGGTCCCCGGAGGTTTGTACTACAAAACTAGTGGTACATCGATGTCGACCCCTATAGTTGCTGGTGTCGCGGCCTTGCTCGTTACTCTCGGTCTCGAAGGCCAAGACATAACCAGCACTATTGTCAAATCTAGAACGGCCGGTATACCGAATCGATTCAATCTATCTCACATCGGGGAAATAGATGTACTTGAAGCAGTGAATATCGCCCTCACCCAGTTGACGAACTGCTCCTCCTATGGTCAGTAAAGTTGTCTCGAGGACTGTGGGACTCGTGAATACTGCTGAGGCAGAGAATGCATCTACCTTTTCGTACAAAGATTTTTTTCCTCATCTTCGCCGTTATCCGATTCATTTTGAAAGGTTTTACGGCTACTTCCAGACAGCATCATTAATTTTTCCCGCATTAGAATCAGTTGATATTTCGAAAACTTTCGTGATTGTACCTCGTATATGTATCGTCATTGGATCCCATTCCTGTTGGGTAGAGTTTTCACCGGTAACGCAACTTTTCGTTGACGTCTTATAAGCGTTTTGTAGTTGTGCAGATTGCACAACTATGGAATCTTAGCTTAGCTCGAAGCTAGTTGATGAGTTTATAAGTCTGATTGTAGATAGAATCTATAGATTCCATTAACCATTGCCTTGAGTTCCCAAATGGTTAACATGGTGGAGAACCCGCCGACAACTCCCTCAAGTCCCGTTGGTTTACAAATCGCTGAAGCTTTTGGTGTAGAGAACATTTATCTCTTAAGACGTGTTACTGATGGAGAGTTTACCAAGAAGTGTGAGGAGATGCTCACCGATAAGAAAGCGACCTTTGGTGATATATTGGCTTAGCGTGATTATATGGAGGATATCACTACGATCCTCCATCACATGGAGGATATCACTATCCTCCATTATATGGAGGATATCACTCTACGAGACACTGTCTCGTAGATCTGGCGCATCAACCTCAAGTGAGCCAGAGGTTATTACGACGAGGATTGTGAATACTGTTTCTGAGTTGCCGCTACCTAATGGTGAAGCTTATAATGGTTTTCAAGATAAGAGGCGTATCAGTTGGTTTGTCAAGGAGATTCAGAATACTAGTAAGCTTTTGCAGTTATCACGTGAGGAGATGCTCACCGATAAGAAAGCGACCTTCGGTGATATATTGGCTTAGCGTGATTATATGGAGGATATCACTACGATCCTCCATCACATGGAGCATATCACTATCCTCCATTATATGGAGGATATCACTCTACGAGACACTGTCTCGTAGATCTGGCGCATCAACTTCAAGATCTGAGTTTACCAAGAAGTTTGAGGAGATGCTCACCGATAAGAAAGCGACCTTTGGTGATATATTGGCTTAGCGTGATTATATGGAGGATATCACTACGATCCTCCATCACATGGAGGATATCACTATCCTCCATTATATGGAGGATATCACTCTACGAGACACTGTCTCGTAGATCTGGCGCATCAACTTCAAGTGAGCCAGAGTTATTACGACGAGGATTGTGAATACTGTTTCTGAGTTGCCGCTACCTAATGGTGAAGCTTATA